AAAAAAAAAACAATTAAACAAACAGAATCCCCCACCATCCTGGTCGTGCCTGTTTTCTGAATGCTATATACAAAGAAACATGCTGTACACCTTCTTTTGTGACTGGCTTTGTTCACTCCGAATTTTGAGATTCATCTGTACTGAGGTGTATCTGAAATTGCTTTTTTCTGCCCAGTACTCCATCCTCTGGAATGGAAGTCACAGTGACTCTGCTGAGGCACACAGCATGGTTTGGGGTTTTGCTTCCTCATACACATGCAGACATGAGACTGCTTGGCCCTGGGTCCCCACACCTTCACCAAGCGATGCCCAAGCCCTCTCCATAGTGGCCTCTCAGCTGCATATCCCTTCCAGGCGTGGGGGGAGTCCTTCCGCCCCGACCCGTACTTCTATCTTACTTTCCTATTCCCGCCACTCTTACAGGTGTGAAAATGTATCTTTCTGTGGTTTTGACCTGCACTTCCTTCTTCCATAATGAAGCTGTGTGTCTTTTCCTATATTCCTGGGCCAGCTCTGAGTCGTCTCCTGTAAGGTGCCTATGTGAGTCTTTTGTGCACCTTCCTTTAGGGTTTCCCCCTCCTTTTTTTTTAAAATTAGTTAATTTTTTTTTTTTTTTTTTTTTTTTTTGAGACAGGAGTCTCAATTTCTTGTCCTTGGTAGAGTGTCATGGCATCATAGCTTACAGCAACCTCAAACTCTTGGGCTCAAGCGATTCTCTTGCCTCAGCCTTGCAAGTAGCTGGGACTACAAGTGTCTGGCTGTTTTTAGAGACAGGGGTCTTGCTCTGGCCCAAGCTAGTCTCAAACTCCTGAGTTCAGGCAATCTACCCGCCTTGGCCTCCCAGAGTGTTAGGATTACAGGCATGAGCCATGACGCCTGGAAGGTTCCCCTTTTCTTTTCAACCCACCCCAGCAGTATGGCTGAGGCCCAGCGTTTCCCCCCACCCACCACAGTATGCAGTGCACCTCTATCAAAGTCAAGGCTTCATGGTTGTGTTAGTGGCCCCTACTCTGTTGCAATCACCCACTTATCTGTTTCCACCTCTGCATGTTCTTAACTATCCTTACACATACTATAATGATAAACCTTGATATCTGGTACAACAGATCTTCCAGCCTTGTCTGGGCTACTCTCGGGCCTATGCTCTTCCATATTCATCTTAAAATCATCTTACCAAGTTAAAAAAAAAAAAGTAACGGGCATGGGGGCTTACGCCTATAATCCAAGCACTCTGAGAGCCCAAGACGGCAGGATCCCTTGAGCTCAGGAGTTCAAGCCCAGACAGCAAAAGCGAGATCCTGTCTCTAACTAAAAATAGAAACACTAGCTGGGCATTGTGGCAGATGCCCGTAGTCCCAGCCACTCGGGAGGGTGAGTCAGGAGGATCACTTGAGCCCGAGAGTTTCAGGTCTCTGTGAGCTTAGCTGACGCCACAGCACAGCACTCTACCCGGGGTGACAGGGTAACACTGTTTCTGACTGGGTGTGGTGGCTCACACCTGTAATTCTAGCACTCTGGGAGGCTGAAGCAGGTGGAATGCCTGAGCTCACAGGTTTGAGACCAGTCTGAGCAAGACGCCCCCCCATCTCTAAAAATAATCAGGCATTGTGTCAGGAGCCTATCGTCCCAGCTACTTGAGAGGCTGAGGCAAGAGAATGGCTTGAACCCAAAAGTTTGAGGTTGCTATGAGCTATGATGTCATAGTACTCTACAGAGGATGACAAAATGAGACTCTGTCTCCAAAAAAAAACCAGAAAGAAAAGAAAAAAAAAATTAAGACCAATTAGGATTTTGACAGAACTGCACTGAATCCCCGATCAATCTGGGGAGACGTGTTATTGTAATAGTCAGTTCTCCAAACCTGAATCCCTCAGGACATCTTCATTTACTTAAGTGTCCTTTAATATCTTTAGTGAAATTTAATCTGTTTTATTTTATCCTTTGTTTCATAAGACTTATTCTTAGGAGCTTATTTTTTAAATTTTCATTATCTATTATTACACAGAAAAACAATTTAATATTGTACATTGTTTTATATCCACCAATCTTGCTAAGCTCTCTCTTTGTTCTCACAGCTGAAGAACAAAATCCATAGTCTTAATTCTAATTGGAAGTCATTCTAAGTGATTCTAATAATTTTTTGGTTAATGAGGAAGTCTCACTGGGTAGAGTGCATGAGCCACATTACATTTTTCTTTCCTTTTTTTTTTTGAGACAGCGTCTCACTACTGCCTCTACTGCTGCTGACCCAGAACCCAAAACCTTCCAGAGGCTCCAGAAACACCCACCTCCACCCAGAAGCTCCTAACTCTTCACTCCTGGTCTTCCACTATAGTCTTCAGAGCACTATCCCCCCAGGACAGAAATTGGCTTCCCCAGGTCCACTTATGCCTGATATGACAGAGAGCACACCGGGAAACTGAAGCTGCCTTCCTGGAACCCCATCATAAGGATGGGCCCTTGCTCTGCCCCCCATGGGGCACCTTGCCAAGGCCGAGGCCCTCCACTTCAAATGGAGGGTGCATGAGGGACAGCTGACTGCAGGCCAGAGGAGCTGGCTCCTCCACACACCTTCTGCATGCCCTGCTCAGCAGCAGCACCTGTGAGATCACACACCCTGAGGACAACCTACTGCCTAGTCTCCTTAGCTCTTCTGTGCTTAGAGCTGGAGCTTCAGCTTTCCCTGTAGCCCTGACCACAGAGGGCATCTCCTACCTGGCAGACAACTATTGTCCTCTCCTTCTGGACTCTGTAAAGGGACACACCTTGGCTATTTCCGGCTCCCCCCACTGCAGAGGAATACCCTGAACCTTAGGAGAATTCTCACCTGCTCCCAGTCCCGGTCTGAGGGAGATGGACACTGCCCTGACAACAGGGAGGCTTCTCATTGGCTAAAGTCAATTTGTAAAGTCCTTCCACCCAACCTCCTACCCCAAATTCCAGCTGTACTACAGGAGCCACAGAGAGACCCTGCCTATCCCCCAGCTATGTGGACAGTGACCATGTGGTAGGCACCCAGGGCAGCTACTGTGCTTGAAAGAAGCAGAGCCTTGAGCATGCGAGGCGGGTAGGGGCACTGGGTGGAGTGAAGAGGATCTGAGTCTTAGTGATCACCTCTCAGCAACTGGACCAAGCTCAAGCTACATGCAGCACCACATGCTGACCAACTGCCTCCTAACACCCTGTGGACAGAGCTTGCTGGGGAGGTGGCCCCAGCCTGCAGCCTCCATGCCATCCACAGCCCCCAGCCTGTTGCTTCCCTGCAAGAAAGCACTCCCAGAGTTCAGAGCTGGTCTGCCCTGCTGCCTGAGCCTTACGCTCAGGAGGGCGGGGGACACCAGCACTCACTACGGACTGAGGGGAGACCAGAGATTGAGGGCACCAGGCCTCAGCAGAAGACACAGAACCCAAAACCTTCTGGAAGGTTCCATCTGCTCTGACCTCTCCTATGTTCAGTGACCACGGTTCTAGCAGGTTCCAGGTTCCACCTAATGTAGGTGACAGACACTCACACAGATAAGAGCTGCTCTTAATCTGTGTCCTCACAGTCCTACAGGTTGTTGA